GGTTTCTCCTCGCCTATTCTCCATGTTTTTGTGGATTGATATCTTTTTATCTCTTTTGATCGTGTTAGTGGGGTGTGGGCAGCTGAAGTGGTAGCACACGTAGACAGTCGGCCACAGTTGACCGGAAGTCTGTCAGATTATCGTTTTTAAAAGCTCCCGGGATGATCGAGGCCCCTGGCTTAAAATAATGTTGGGAATCACTGCACTCTGTGATGTCTCTCACTCCCTTCTGGCACTAACAGTTTATTCTTCAAAGTGCTCTGTCTTCTTCTCAAAAGAGCTGATTTCTCTCTGGTCTCTCTTATTTATTTTGTTTTAAAAATTTATCTTTATTGATGTATGAAATATATACAGAGAAATACATGAATGATATAAGTATGCTCTGAGTGAATGTTATCACAAAAGGCCATGCTTAGGTAACAGCAGCCCAGCCTGAGTAACAGAACTTTACTTGCCAACACCAGCGTTCCCTCATGGCCCCTTCCCTATCACTAGCCTCTCTCTTCCCCAGAACTCACCTCTGGCCTGACTACCTCCACCTATCGATTCCACCTGTTTTTGAGCTAGATGTAAGTTAGCCTTGTATTCATTATGGGTTCCGTGTACATTGTAGTTAATACACTTTCCCGTTTTGCTCCCCTTTTATTTATATCCAGGTTCTTCCCACTCTAAATAAAGTTAGTTGTGGCTGTTCTTCCCCTCCCAAGATATATAACACCTGCCATGGAACGACTGTTTCCTTCCCCCTGTGTGTGGGACTGTAACCGTGAAGAGCACCTAGACCCCCCGCTGGCTGCCTGAGTCTGCCTCCCCTAAGGGGAAAACTGGCACGAGAAACCTAGGAGCCTCCAGAATACGTCCCAAACTTCCCTCTGAGCTCCACGTTCTGTTTTTTCATGTTTCCAAATTCTTGGTGGCAAGGAGGGGCAGGACACTCGGCTCCTCGCGTGGAGGTGTAGCAGGTGTGCGTGGAGCAGGCGATGGCAGTGGCATGAAGTGCTTAAAGGAGAGTGACAAGATGGCAGCCAGTGATGGCCTTCCCTCCTCTCTTACAGAGCTCTGCCCTCTGAATGCCAGATGCTCCTCTTTTCAGCAACCTTTGAGGACTCCGTGTGGCAGTTTGCCGAGCGAATCATTCCCGACCCTAACGTCATCAAGTTACGCAAGGAGGAGCTGACCCTGAACAACATCCGACAGTATTACGTGTTGTGCGAGAACAGGAAAGACAAATACCAAGCTCTGTGCAACATTTACGGGGGCATCACCATCGGTCAGGCCATCATCTTCTGCCAGGTAAAGTGCGGATTTGTCTGCATCGTGCCCACATTTCCCTACAGGCGGAGTCGGGGGTGATAGTATCAGTAAGCGCCAGGTAGCCAGGTATCATGTTCAGCACTTTGTGTGTATTATCTAGTTGAATCTTCAGAGCTACTCAGAACAGAAATTATCTGTATTTTATGTGTGAAACTTAGAAAGATTCAGTAGTGACGTAGGGTCTTCACTATGGTATTAAACAGCAGGCCTTCTCATTTTGGAGAGACTGCCTCTAACGCTTCTGCATTTAGATTCATGTTTATTGTAGTTCCTACAGGTGCCCTTTATCAGGTTAAAGGTGTTACTTGCCGTTAATAGCACTCTCTTTTAATTTTCATATTTGTTTTTTTGCTGTCTGGTATGTTTCATGTTCGTGTGTTGTTTTATTTTCTCATTGCCATGTGAACATTCTAAGCTTCACGAGAGCAGGTCTCATCCATCTCCCTCACTCGCATATCCACTGCTCCAGACCAGCACCTGCCTGGCACGTGAACAGCGCTGAAAACACAGCTGTAGAATAAAAGAAAGCACAGCTCTGCCACTGGCTAACCGTGTCACCTTGGACAAGTTACTTAACGTTTTTAAGCTTTTGAGGGAGGGTTGTCTGTCTTTAAATTTTTTAAATGAAATTAGGTGGCTACTGCGTTAAATTGTTGTGAAAGCACATGACCACGGTGCATGTAAAGATTCCAGCCAGATGCCTGGCACGTAGGAAGCACTCCGGTGTATCTGTTGCTGTCGTTTTTGCATTATATCATTCTGTCACTACAGCACCACATGAGGTAGGTGGAGCGTGTTTGTCTCCATCTCGTGGTGAGAAAGCCCAGGCTCGGGCTGGCTGAGAGGATGTGGCCCTCAGAAGCACAGGCAGGGGGAACATTCCGTGCCACATTCTGAGGCCCTTGAGGACTTGGGGGGAGGTGAACAAAACTCCTCTGCAGCCCTCTCCCTCTCCCCATGACCCTGCATGTGTGAGCATCGTAAATATAGCACGAGCACAGCAGGCAGGCGGCTTTAACGTGGGGTGCCGTGGGTGGGTTTTGCTTTTTCATGCAGACTCGTCGAAACGCCAAGTGGTTGACCGTGGAGATGATGCAAGATGGCCACCAGGTGTCTTTATTAAGCGGGGAGCTGACCGTGGAGCAGCGAGCTTCCATCATTCAGAGGTTTCGGGATGGAAAAGAGAAGGTTCTTATCACGACCAACGTTTGTGCTCGAGGTGTGTGTATTGAAAGTCAGGTGTTTAGGTGTAATTTACGTCTGACCGAATTCACTCTTTTTTAAGTGTACAGTTGGTGAGTTTTGACAAACATACACGGTTATGTAACCGTCACTGGTCACCAGAACACAGCACATCTCCATCTCCCCAGTCTCCTTGTTTTCCTTTGAAGTCAGTCTCCCCTGCACACACCCCATGGCCTCTGGCAACTACTGTCTGTATATTTTTGTGTCCTCCGAAATGCCACATAATGTCCATGGCAGGCAGCCTTCGTGTCTGACTTCCTGCACCTCACGGTGCTTTTGAGTTGCATCAGTGCTGCTAAATGTGTCAGTAGTTTGTTCCTTTTTATTGCTGGTAATATTCCATTGATAGTTCATCCATTCCCCAGTTGATGGGCACTTGGATTGCTTCCAATTTGGAACTGTTCTAAATAAAGCTGTAATAAAAATTCCTGTGTAGGCCTTTATGTAGATATATGATTTTATTTTTCTTGGGTAAATACCTAGGAGTGGAATTTGTTGGATCATATTGTAAGTGTGTATTTCGCATTATAAGAAGGTACAAAACTTTTTCCATAGTGGCTGTACCATTTTGCATTCTCACCAGCAGTATAGGAGAAATCCACCTGCTCTGCATTCTTGCTAGCAGTTGGTATTGTCACTCTTTCTAATTTTAACTGTTCTAGTAGATACGCAATAGTATCTCATTATAGTTTCAATTTGCATTTCCCTACTAATGTTGAGCATCTCTAAGGTCTACCAGGGAGAAAAAAAAAAAACAAACCTTTTTTGTTTCAAGACAAGGGCCTTCCTACTTTCTTTGTCCTTCCTCTATATCCTTGCTTGTATGCTTAGACCCCTATACTCAAAAAGTGTTTCCCAGTTCATTCTTAGTTCAGCAAATAGAGCTGAGAGGCTGTGGCATTGGAAGTGAGTGCTGAGCACTACACTTGGGAAGGGTGTCCTGAGAAAGAATGAGGTCCTTGCCTTCCGGAGCTCACCACCTAGACTCTGCCCCTCTAGACTAGCAGGACCCAACAGAACTTTCTGCAGGGAGGGAAATGTTCTATTCTGTGCTCTCTAGTTGGTAGCCACTAGCCATAGACAGCTCTCAAAACATTTGAAATGTGGCTAATATGATTGAGGAACAGAATTTTTAATTTTAACTAAATTTAAATAGCCACATGTGGCCGATGGTTGCCATGTTGTGCAGCACAGCTCTAGACCCTGCAGGAAAGAGACACAAGGAGCTCCAGGGTCAAGGCGCGGTGCAGGGAGGATAAGCACATATCCCGGCACCTTGTTCATGCTGGGTAAGGAGAGGTACCAAGGCTCTCAGAGGCCTTCCTAGGCATCGTTAGAGTTGAAGGGTTTTGAAGGGAGGTGGCAATTCTATTGAATGGTAATTACAGTTTGTTTGGGAAATGGCCAGGCTGTAGGATTGGAGTGCTGTATTTGTGAGTCAGGAGAGAAAGAGATGAGACTTTATGTGATGTAAGGTATTGAATTGTTTGTCCTTCATCCTGCACGTGTTGGGCAGTGGGTTCTGAACACGAGCATCCTGGGCGTGGCTATGCTGACCACTGTGGAGAGATGTGAGCAGTGGGAGAAGAGGTGGAGGGAAAGCCAGTCTGGAAAGTGGTACAACCGTTGAAGCAAGGGAAGGAATAAAAAAGACCTCACTGGAAGAGTAGGCTTGGAATGGCACCGAGCCAGGGCCCTGTGACGGCTGAGGGGACACAAAACTAAGGGCCTGTGGGGACCTAGGTCTGTGGGCTTGGTGCGAACACCTCTCCACCACGCACGCGCACACACACACGCACACGCACACGCTTTGTACATATTTAGACATCTGCAGAATTAGCCTGTATTGACACTCTTCTCTAGCACCATAGACGTCACGGCCTGCTGGTAAACTCCTGACCTGTTTTGACTACATAAACCCAGGTTTGATTTATAAATTGTCTCTATTAATGACAGTTCCCTCAGCAAATGTGGTTCTTGAATGGCCATGTCTTAAGGAAAATGTTGCAGAACCCTACAGTGTCTTTCCTCTTCTAGGGATTGATGTGAAGCAGGTGACAATTGTTGTGAACTTCGACCTCCCTGTAAACCAAGCACAGGAGCCAGACTATGAGACCTACCTCCACCGCATAGGGAGGACGGGACGCTTCGGGAAAAAGGGCCTCGCCTTCAACATGATCGAAGTGGACAAGCTGCCCCTGCTCCTGAAGATCCAGGACCACTTCAGTAAGTGGCGCCGCTCCGGCAGCGTGAGCTGTGGACCTGCTGGTGCTGAGGGCGGTGGCGTGTGTGGGAGCTTGAGGCTCGTGAGAGTGTGGAGGCAGAAGCCAGGGTGTGGGCGGCTTCTAATTCACAGGCCCAGAGTTGTACTATGAGACAGGTGATTATATAACTCTTATATGGCAGTTAAAGAAAAATTTAAAAATCAAGTGGAATTAATAATGAGCTCAGACTTATAGCTTATTCTGGAATCTGGAGCAGATTTTCACATCGTATACAGCACAGTAATGAAGTCCTATAACCTTAGCTTCTGTCCCCAGTTTCCTCTTTTGTTGACACTTTTCCCCCCTCTTGCTCCACCCTCCCAGATAGAATAGTCCTAAATTCTGAGGTCTGCTGCCTTTCTTCCAGCCCCCCTCTAAACAGCTTGGCTCCGATGTTGGCCTGGCAGATTGCACTGCCGAACACGAAGGGTCCCGTGACTGGGACAACCACTCCTCAAATTACCCCATGCCCGAAGCCCACGGACGTGGCTGGGGAGCAGGGGAGGAGGAAGTGTTTCCCTTCTGGGACGGTGGTCCTTAACCTCTTGGGAAGCAGTGGGCACTCTCCCCAGGGACACGCCCATAGGCACGTGTATGGCATGTAAGTTTTAGAAGTTTGCAGACTGATCCAGCACATCCACCTACGCTTGGGGAAGTAGGTTAGGTGCCCCTGCATCAGGCTAGCTGGGGAGGTGGCACTGCGGCCACTGTTGCTGTGGCGACTGCATGGAGGAGTGCCTTCCCCAGGCCCTTTTCTGCCCCAGGTGTCTGGATGTGCATGTTCTTCGGCCTGGTGCCCTTGACACTGCTTTAGTTAGTATTAGTGGATATTTTGGCACCATCCTTTCTGTGTGTTCCTGTCTCTAGGCTTTCCATACAAGGTGTCAGAGTGGGATGGAGTGAAGTTGCATTTAGGCCCTGGGGTAAGACTGGTTCCATTCTCTTTTGTTCTTTTAGACAGCAGTATTAAGCAGCTTGACCCTGAAGACATGGATGAAATTGAAAAGATTGAATATTGAAGAAAGGACTTTATCGTTTGTGAAATATCCTAGTTTATGTGAGAATGTTCCAATGGGTTTTGAAGGTAATTTTTTATGTTGAGGCTTTTTCGACGTGAAACTGTCAGACAGATGGCAAAATAAATGTCATGGTGCCCTTAGTTTTAAGAACTGAGGTCTTTTTGAAACCAAATTGATGTGAAACATGTGATCCTTTTGAATAAAAAAAGCAAGATTATTTTTTTCTAATCTTTTTCCAGGTAAGCATCTCTGTGTGGATTTTGTTTGTCTATATAATCTGAGCAGATCACGCCTCTTGTGAGCATCTTACAATGCCACGAGATGGCAGTAGAACTTCGCTGGTTTTAGAATTTGAACCAGGAGGAAGAAGCCACAGGTCTTCAGGCCTCACTCACACCTGCCCTTTCCAGCAGGCGGCGTCTTCCCTCCCAAACTGCGCCCTCCCTGATAGGAGGGCGTGCATGTTCTTAAAGTACAGGGTAAAACCTTGAGAAGGTGAGACCATTTGGAAGAGAGAGTGTTTTGTTGCTTTAATGTTTCAACTGATATACAGAATTTCACAATATTTTTTTATTTTGCTTCTTACTGTCTTCAAATTAAGGAAGATTTACTCCATCGTCAGTTATTTCATAGTCTCCGAAAATGTGGCTTTTTACTATAGGCATTTCTTAAAAATAGGCAGTGGGGCAGTTTAAAAAAAAAAACCAGTAGCCCTGTTAAAGAAGTAACATTTCAGGGAGCACGAAGGTTTTGCTTTTTAAGAGCATAAAGGCGTGTCTGAGAATCCTGGATCTCTTCCTGCAAGTCCCACCGAGATGCTTTTCATCCCTCACACTTGCTACGCAGAAGTGCGACAGTGAGCTTAAGAAAATGGGATGAATGGACGCTCCCCCGAAAAGCCAGAGCAGGACTCGCAGCTGGAGCGCAGACACCAGCTCCGTCACAGCGCCAGACTGCACCAGTGGCTTCCGCGAATGCTCCTGCCACCCCAGCGGGATGGTGGCTTCTGCCATGTCTGCTTTAATACTCCGCTTGCTCGTCACCCTGCCCTATTTTATCCCTAAGAGCAGTGTTCAGAAATACCTGAGAATCGTCGAGCTCCCTCATCCAACAACAGGTACTTGTCGTGCACCTTTCTGCTAACACCAGGGGAAGGGAGGGGAATGAGATGTAAGTCATCTCAGAATTCAGTCGCTAAGCCAGCGTGAAAACAGACTGTGCCTTCTCAGAGTGGACAGGGTACCACCTGGCAGTTTTCTAACCCGAGTCCACCGAGGCAGTGTTCCAGACCCAGCTCATCACTGGAACTACCTAGAGAACCTAGAAGACAATACAGATCCCTTCCCCGTTCAGACAAAATCACTCTCCAAGGGCAGAGTCCAGTCATACACACACAGAGGGGAGCTGGGAGCGTAGGTACAGCAGTCGTGATAAAGACACTGTCCTCAGGAGGAGACGCCAGGCAAAGAGAGGTCCACAGAGACGGAACCTGTGAACAGTGGAGCTCCCACCTCCGAATGTCGCCCGCAGCTCTCCTGGTGCCGTGCCTGCCTTCGTCCCTGACCAGCTGCCAGTGGCCAGCCTTTGTCCACGCGGTACTCGGCCCCAACACAGTGCCCGGCGCATCGTAGGTGCTCGACGAATATTTGCTCTTGTTGAGAAAATATTTTTCTTTCTTTTGCCATTTCCTCATTCATTAACATCTTTCCTTGAGGTTTTCCGTCCTGGTTTTGAGCCCCAGTTATACGACACAGGATGAATAAGCATGGGAAGTGTATCAAGACGTTTTGCTCTCTCTTACTAGTTGAGAATTGAGTTGGACTTCCCACCGTACTCGGCTCAGTCTTGGGGTATCCTAAATAAAACTTTACCACTTCCCTTTCCAGTTCAGATCTCTGGTAAGGTCTATACCAGTTACTGCGAGTGTCTCCAGTAATTTTCATCTGGCAGCTGTTCCCGTAGGCCTGCAAACACCGGCCATTCTCCTGCCTCCCCGGGCCCCTCTCCTCACATCCCTCTGTCCCACCACCTAGAGGGCAGCAAAGCCACCCTGTTTTCTGCACGCATCACAGCTGTGTTAACACCAACTGTCCAGTCAGTGAGTCAACAATCCCAAGGCTGTCCTGCAGGGCGCAGCTCCCCGGTCAGAACTGTAAGCAATTTCCCCATCTCCCCTCCGTGCCTGCCTGAGGAAGAAGTCAATGGAGAGGCAAGAAATAACCAGGTGATTCCAGTGCGTCTGTGAGCTCGGTCAATCAGCTGTGTATTGCTTGGCACCAAATGCTAAACCAAATCCATTTGGTTTTTCTTGGCCAGCTTAATGCTGTTAGCATATTGAAGTTCACAGCTACGGAGAGCAGGACTGTGATTTCCAGTGGTGAGGGAACACCTCGCCTGGGCATGGCTGCTGTGATGTCCGCGCTAGATCTAAGGCAACTATTAATAATAGGAAAGGCACATGAGTTGGTCACAGTCTGGGAGGATGTCTGACAGCTCCTTCTCAGGAGACATTACTGCTTTCGGTCATGAGAAAGTGTTGATCCTCCTCAGCAAAGCTCGGTCACCATGAAAGCCACTGGCAGTCTCTGCACGCATGATCAACAGTGGAAAATCTTAGAGCACTGCTGGGTTGGGGGCCAGGGCTGGGGCAGTGAGCGGCACCTTTCCAGACAGCAGGGGGAGAGGGGCTGGCTTTGTCGAGCCTTGGTTTGGCTCTCAGTCCTCTGAGAGACTCGGTCTCCTTCCCCGTGATTCAAGTAGAGCCTAGATTAGAAAGGGGACCCAAGCAGAGACAACCCAGCGGTTGGGATGGGCCTGTACTTTGCTCTCTGAGCTGGGGGCCCAACTCTGCTCTCACCCCCAGACAGTCCGTTCAGTCTGTGCCCAGCAAATGGGCACATCCTGGTTTTACCAAGGGAGTAGCAGAAGGATCAGATCCTCTTAAATCTTAACCCCTTCACTCCAGCCACTTTGGGGGACTAATCATGTATATCAAAGACCCTCGTATCGTTTTAACCCATAAACTATGAACTATCACAGTCTTGCTATATGCTGCAGGGAATACCAACTTTCTGCTCTAGAACAAATCCAAAAAGTACTCGCCCCAACATTTTCTATACTTTTTTCAATCCATGGCTAAGAGAAGAGTGGGGCACTTCCCCTTCCCGCCCTGCTGCTCTGCCTGGGCTGGCGGTGTCGTCCCCGGAGTCTGCCTTCTCACTCGACACCCTCCTGTGCCCCGTGGGTCCCTCAGCGGGAGGGTCAGCCACGTGCTGGCCTTTTCACAGCCCCCGTCCCTCACTGTTTCCTGTTGTCTCCTCGGAGGGAAGTTGTTGGAGCCATTGTCGCAAGACAGGTCTCTCTTCCTCCAGTCTCCCTGACTGCTGTGCAGACATCATTTTGGAATGTGGGTGGGGTTGCAGCACCATTCTCCATTTGTAATGTGGATTTTCCACCCCCTTTTAAACATTAAACTTTTAGACTCTTCTTGTGGAATACAGGAAACGCATCTGAAGTGGGACAATTCTTGGCTCGCAAAGCACCAGTGTGTTCAGCAAGCCCACGGAGGGTCCCGCTGGCCTGCTCTCCTTTCTCAATGTCAGCCTTCCGCTCCTGCTGGGTCAGTAGTGGCCAGAGGCTCTAGTAAGGAAGAAGAGCTCTGAAGAGAGGCTATCTCCCTCCCACATTCGGAAGAATTAATCAAAAATTTTAAACGAGAATCTAAAGTCTTTAGAGAGCTATCTGCAGCACTTTTCTTTAGGAATTAATCTTTACCCATTTTTTTTTCTAATCAGAATAATCATAGGTTTCTATATTCTCATTTCTAGAATATATTTTTCATGAATGAAGTCTCCTATTTTGAGCTTAATAATTTTCTGTTGCTAGAAAGAATGGTACAGTCTCACTCCTGTCCCTTAGTTTGTGATTCATGGCCTGAAATCCCAGGTGGAAGGAAGTGATTTCTGGGAAGCCCTGCTCCCTGTGAGGTTCACAGGCACAGGCTGAACAGGCAACTTTGTGAGGTGGTGAGCTCCCCGTTAACAGGAGTATTCAGTCAGGCAGAAGGAGGAGAGTTACTTGTAATGGACGCTGCGGTTCTGGTTCTTGAATTACTAGGAGTTTGGAATAAGCTCATCTCTGAGACTCCTCCTACTCGAAGACACCATGTTTCCGTGGCCCCACACAAGTAGCTACACACATGGGAGAACGAGTCACAGAAGCTTTGCACAAAAGAATATTGTTTTCCACAAATGAAAATGGACTGATTAACTTCTCACTGCACCCGTCTTAACTCTCAGACTCATTGGCTTCTTCCCCACGTGGTCATCTCTTTGTCAGCTCTGTCAACTTGTGCAGAATGTGGATTATTTTAAATTTAATGTTTATATTATAAGAGCAATAAAATAGCAAACAAAAATAGTGGAAAAATTATCAAAATTCTCCTTACTTTATCATAGAAATTATTGTCTTGTATCCTGTTCCTTTAAATATGTGTAGTTAATCATGGTGGATATATGTTATATCCTTTTACTTGAAACATTCAGGTGTTTTCTTCATGTTGCCACATAGTCTTTGGGATTATTATTTCAAAATAATAAGGGACCAGATCATGCTATCTAGTGAATATGCATACGCTACCTTTTTTCAACATTTATGTGATGCCCAGTTTTCCAGTGTTACAATTATAAATAATGCTGTAGCAAATATCTCCTTGCCCAATATTTTAAATTATTTCTTAAGATTAGAGACATTAAGTTTGGATACCAGGTCGAAAAATAGGAGAATTTTTATGGCTTTTGACTGTCAAATCGCTTCCAAAAGGCTGTAGCCGGCACAGCATGTATCACCCTCTCTGTTTTACCTCACCTTACTGGCAAGGGATGTGTTCATTTTAAAATTGCTTGGTAACTCTTTTTGGCTTATGTTTCTTTTGGTACAAACAAGATTAAGTATTTGTTTTTAATATGTGGTTCATTGTTTGAAAAATATCTGTAGTGTTCTTTGCCCATTTATCTTATGAGATCTTAGTATTTTCCTTATCAAGTTCTGTGAAATATATGTGTGAATTGATTTTTTCAAATAAAGATATTAACCTTTTTTTACTGACAAATATGTTTTCTCAGTCTGCCTTTTTAAATTTGTTATAGTTGTTTCACACAAAATCCCTTAATTTTTTGTAACGTATCAATAATTTTGTGACTTTTTTTGCCTGCCGGTTCTATA